ACTATTAGTTCTTTAAGATCTTTTACAAATTGTTCATTTTGAGTTTCTTTTTCTTGTTTGTCTTTAATCTCTTTTATTTTTTAGTTAAAGTCATATCATGAATTTGATAAATATCATGACATATCAAAGGATAAAAATAATGTTGATTTTATTTTAGTGTTAAAATTATGCAAAATTTGGATTATTACGTAAAAATCTTGAAGATATATTTAAATTGGAGTGGAAATTTAAACTAAAAATATTATGTGATATTATTAATGATCTATTAAGGATTTATTCTAAAAGTTTTTTTTACATTCTGGCAATATTTTACTAAAAGAATGATATGAAGCTTATATCGATTTAAGTTCATCAATATTGTCTGATGAAAAACAGGATACTTGTATTTATGGTGTCTTGCCATATTTAGCATCTGAGGTTTTGAAAGAAGAACAGTTCATTCAAGCTACTGATATTTACAGTTTTGGAATTATTATGATAGAAATATTAACTGGTCAAAGACCTTTCGATGATTACAATTTTGATGCTGAATTAGCAGTGATAATTTGTCATAGATTATGACCTGAGTTTTATATAAAGACACCAAAATGTTATGTTAAATTAGCCAAACAATGTATCAATTCAGATATAAATAAAAGACCTGCAATTGTTGAGATTCGTAGTAAACTTGGAAAATAGATATTCATAGCCAGCAATAATTATAATGTTAAAAGATTTAAGGCTGTTAGGATTTTTGATAAATTTAAAAAATAGAATACAATTATAGTCAATGATAAGAATGATGGTTCAGTTGAAGAGATCAAACAGCAATTTTTAGAGTCTAATAAACTCAATCAAAGAATTGCCTATTATCTCACAAAAACATGATAATATGATGTATACTTCTAAACTTATTGATACAAGAGAAATCGTTTCAGAGTTTGAAAATTTTAAAAATAATTAATAGCTTAAACCAATTAAGGAGATCTGTATTAATAATATTGATTGCAATCTATTTTTCCAAGATTTTTTATCAATAAATAATGTTATACTGTTCGAACACATCAATAATAATTTTATTTTTGTATTTGGCAAAAAAGGCGATTGATGCAATTACCCTATAAAAAAAATATACTGATCGGCACTGGTTAGTTTCAGATAAGCACAGGTCAAGATCTTGATTTGGTGGACCGTGTGATACTATATGCCCGTGCCAATTAGATAGTAAGTAGCTCATATTTTGTAGCAGTTTACTAGTTGAATCAGCACAGAATTTGGCACAGGTAATAATATATAAATTTACGAGCCTGGTACACAAATTTATGAACCTAACCCAATAACTAATTCAGACTCAGACCAGTCTGCAGACTTCAGACTAGACCCAGACCAGACTCACACTTGATTAAAAGTCTGAATATAAAGTCTGAGTCCGGTCTGAAAATCAGACCAGACTCAGACTTAACTAAAGTCTGGTTCAAGTCCGGTCCATAGGAGCACTACTACCAGATATAGACATAATTACCTGACAAAACAAATGAACTGACTAACTATTCAAGATAGGGAACACTATCAAGACCCTAAGAAAGAAAAATCTCAGAAAAGAATTAGAGAACAAAAAAGAGAACGAACATTACAAATAACAAATGAATTTTTAAACAACTATAGAACTGAGAAAATAACCAAAAAAAAAAAAGTGACACCACCAACAACACCAAAAAACTTAATAATGATGTTAAACAAAAATATAAAAGAGATTAAAGACAAACAAGAAAAAGAAACTCAAAATGAACAATTTGTAAAAGATCTTAAAGAACTAATAGT